AAATCAAATCAAATCAAATCAAATCAAATCAAAGGTCTCCGGTCATGAGATGTCACAGAGGAAGTCCTGAGGACCATGGATCTGCCCAAAGGACTCCAGAGTAAGTCTCTGACATGAACTTGAACATGCACCGTACTCCAGTCTTGACTTCTGTCCGCTGACTTCCCTGGCTGCAGGTGTTGGTCCAGACTCCAGTGATGACACTCTGTTGTCAGCCATTGCCAGCGCTCTGCACATGAGCTCCGTTCCAATCACAGGACAGACATCTGTGGCTGCTGAGAAGAACCCAGCCATATGGCTGAACACATCCCAGCCACCCTGCAAGGCCTTCACTGTCACTGACGAACACATCCGGTGAGAGACACAGTATTCTGCTGCTGTATTGATACAGTAACTATTTTAACACTCCATTAGGGGTTGATGTTTATTTTTTGAGAGTGATCAACTTTTACTTAAAAGAAGAAGACTGTTGTCCTGTGCCTAACTTAATGGCTCAAGATACTGTATGTCAGCTAAATTGGAATTACTTTACTCCTCCAACCAGCAGGGGGAGCTGTAGACTGCAACAGCTGAAACAATAAGCAGTTCATTTAAAACAGGGGTTCTCTAACTTTCTCCAGTGAGGACTGGGAGAGAGATGTGAGTAAAAGGCCTTCTTATGAACATAAACAGCTCATGAAGGCAGTGGAGGTATTTTGCATCTAACTGCTATAATTTGTGTCAAATTTTGTTTTTTTTTTTGGAGTCCTGACTTGAACTTGTTGAATTTATGGTTGTTTTGTTTTATGGTAACTTTTAGGTTTAGTACAATATAGAGTATTTTCATTATTAGGCTACTACCTGTTACTTTATCTTTCTATTTACTGAAGTGATTAGATACATTTCAAACTTGCAGAAATACAGCTAGCAAATGTTACTGCATTTAAGCAGCCAATGTTGTGATTCTCCAGGAAAAAAATGATAATTGGACTTGAGCTGAAAATCTAACGGTGTCAACAACTTTAACTGCGCTGAAGTCACCCTGAACACAGCCACTTTGTGTCACTGTAGAAGCTGTGAATCTGTGTACACCAGCTGACCTGTTTACTGCACAGAAAAGCATTTAGGTTAATAAGATCACAGTGTATGCTCCGCTGTGCCACTTGCATAAATTGTACACAGCCCCACTCTGTGCGGAGACATGTCGACTCCGCTGCTGTATGATGGCCATATATATTTAATGAAGCCAACAAAAAGGAGCCTGTATTCTACCTTTGAGTGCTCTGTGTCAAACAGTGTCAGAAACAGTGGTTTCCAAACGTTTTTAGACCATAGGAGGAAAACGTGAGGAGAGAGGACATGAGGAATCACGTTATTAATGACATGAGACGTCCTGTCCTTCAGCTGAAGTGTCCAGTCACCAACTGATTTCTGATAAAGGGGCAGTCCGTTCACAAAAAACTTCTGTGAAGGATAGTCTTGTGTATCCTCAGTCATGGCTCCTCCAGCACTGTCCTCAGTCCTCACTTCTCGGTCCTCTGAGCCTCGGTTGACTGAAACGACTTCTAAGTCAGTCAAGGATCTAGGAATGATCTTATAAGAGACATGAAGTTGTTCCCATAGTAAAGTCCCCATGAGGAATGAAAACGTGTGTATGTACCATCACCTCTAGTCTTCTGTTTTATCAGTATTTTAGATAAGATTTCATTAAATGTCAAAAGTTTTTACTAATACAAACAATGCTGCTGCAAGCCTTTTATCACAGTGCAATGGTAGAATAATAATTTGAATAGGAAAAAAGTTTAGTCGTAATAAACTGAAATGCAGTTAGAAGTCATTGTGTGTTGAGCTGAGTCTACTGAACTCAGTATCTGGTCAGTGAAGCATGAAGGAGGAGGAGGACAAAGAAAAGCAGCCACCACTATAGTCACCCTAAGAAATTTACACAGTGTTATTGAAAACCTCGAGGTAGCTACTGTAAAAGAGGAACCAAACCATCATCATATGAACAAAGGGGGATTTGTTGGGTTTTCCCTTTATAATAATAATAATAATAGTAAGGTCTAGACCATACTTTGTAAAGTGTCCTGAGATTACTTTTTTTGTGATTTGGCGCTATACAAATAAAATTGAATTGAATTGAATTGATATTGAAACATCCAGACTTGTGTAACACCTGGTGTTACAGGACAATCACATTAGCTACAGGTCATATTTATCTCCATCATTCATTCAGCTGTTTTCTTTTGTCCCAGCAGCCATTGGTTTCACTTAGTGAGACCAATGGAAGGAAGAAAAGATGAGTGCTGTCTTTAGTGTATGTTGGTCATTGTCGTGCTTAAAGGTGAGCAGGTTTATTCATCTCCCCTCAGTGTGGACCAGTCACCTATTATTATTATTATTATTATTATTAAATATGCAAAAAAAAGAATTCTGTTACTGACTGTAGATTAATGAGCAAAAATGGCCATTTCAAGTTAAATCTGAGGGGCTCTGTTTGTGGGAGGAATAACTATACATGTGACATGATTCATTTTCATGTAGCCACATCTTTGGAAAATATAAACATAATTCCAGTCACATTATCTGGGTAAAAGGTGCTCTCTTCTCTCCTCTTGTCTGTAATTTGAATAAGTTCGGTCTTGAGATCAGTCCCCATGTTCCTCAATAGACAGTTACTGCAACCCGACAGCAGGGGGCACTGTGGTGACACGCTGACTGACTGTGAGTAGGTGCGAGTGTGTGTGTGTGCCTCCAGAGGAAAATAGCAGAGTACAGCTGGTTGAAGCCATTACAGCAGACTCACTGGAATACGTCACAACATCCTTCCCCTCTTCTCCTTCCCTTCCTTTTCTGTCCTTCTCTCAATTTTACGCCCTCTTTTCCTTTATCCATTATTTCTCTCTCCTTTCACTCCTTTCCTCCCTTCCTTCCATCCACTCTTCTTCCTTTAAGATTTTTTACTTCTTTATTTACTTTGTCCTATTCATTTTGCCATACTTTTCCTTCTCTCCCAAGTATTTTCCTTCCTTCTTATTATATTCCTTTATCAATCATTTTCTTTTCATTGCTGCCTCCCTTCATTTTCATCTTTTCCACCCTTGCTCCATCCTTCCAATAGTGCATTCTTGTCTTCCTCTCCCTTTGTTTTACCATTTTCAGTTTTCTTTTTCTACTTCCACCCCTGCTCCTCCTCCTCCTCCTCAGGTATTTTCCTCTTATATCTCCTCCCTCCCTATCTCCCTCTCTTCTTCCAGCCTTGTACATCCTCTTCTTATCACTCCTTCCCCATTAATTTCCAATTCTCCCACTCTCTCCTTCTCCAGCTGATTGTGCTTGTCATCCTAAATCACTCTCATTGCTCTCCTCTCTCCTCACCTCCTTTTCATCTTCTCTCCTCTTCCTCCAGTGCTTCATCAGACTCACACCTCACTCCCCCTCTCTCTCTTATTTTTTGTACTTTAGAATTTTTTTTTTTCATTTTATAACTGTACTCACTTTGTCATTATGTGTCCCTTTATTTTTTATATTCTTGGACAGAAGCAAAACATGTAAAACATGATCGTCTCATTGTCTTTCTCTCTCTCCGGGTGTTTGTTAATCCAGATTCAGTCTCAGAACATGGAGCTGATTTTGTCTTTTACCAGTGTTTCTTTATGTCTCCCGCTGGCTTTGACAAATGGTGACCGACGTCTCCTGTGTGTCTGTGACAGCAAACAGAAACAAACACATGGCTGCTTTTAGGAGCTGATGTTGTCTTTGAGAGGAACCATTTGTCTGAGTTCACCACAACCTGCTGAAATGCTCAATATGTGATTGAATAACTGAGGTCAACTTGTTTCTTTATATCCTTTTTAATTTTGGTCAATTAGAAGCAGAGCTGAAGGATGGTGATGTCAATCTGACCAACAGATTAGAGCAAAATGCATGTTGTAGCCAAAACTATGTGGACACTTGAACATTCTAGCCTGATGTCAGAGTTGTCATTATAAACTGGGTGATAAGGGTGTTGCACTCGATGTTAAATTTAGCACCTGCTATTCTTTTGTTTTGTGGAAGATGTGTGTTGTTTTGGTTATTTAGTCATGCTGTTTTAATGCTATTGAAATGCTGCTGGGGTCAAGGTAGTCAAGTTCTTCCACACCAAACATTTCTGTAAGGAGCTGGTTTTATGCATGTGAGTTTTTCCATTCTGAAACTATATATATATAAATAGATAGATGGATAGATAGATATTCATGACACAAAACAAGAATGTTTAGGCAAATAGTAAACTACTGGGCTTATAAGATTATACCCTCTCCTGCGTTTCTGTATGTGTGCAGGGAGCAGGAGATGAAAGTGTACCAGGCCAGGAGGAGTCTGGAGGAGGCGCTGACGGCTGATGGTTTGGCGCGGGCCGCTGAAAACACCCGAGATCTGCTGGAGGGGAAGACAGCCTGAAGACAGACAGGTGTGACAGGTGAACTGTTTTATCAGTGTTTGTGGTTATAATAACCAGCAGAAAGAAAAGTACTCCTAGTTTGAACAGATGTTTAACAGGTACTTTTCTTGGGTTCTGCTGCAGTTCGTTCTTAAACTGGTGTTCTGCCAGATTTTGTACCTTTTGTTGAGCAAATTTAATAACACTTCTTCACGTGCATATTTTTGTATTACAGTGTTCACAGTGTGGAAGAAATAAGTACTAAACTCTCTCTCAGATGTGCACATAAGACACAGCAGGACTGGAGAGATGATAGCTAACATTAGCCAGTTGTCATAGTAACACAGCCTGCTTTCAGGCAGGTCAGATGAGGTGCACATCAGTCAGAAAGAGAGTGAAAAAGAGATGAAAGATCTGTCAGGATAAAAAGGTTAAAGATAAGTTGCTGTAAAGTGAAGAGATGGTTTAAAAAGTTTGTCATGATAAAAAAACAATGCCAGAAACACACGTGATATAGTTTTTGTGTTATTAATATCATTGTCACAGTGACTAACAACACAGCACCAGGTCCTCTCCTACACACAGCAGCTTCCTGCTTAGATTTAGTCCCTGGATATTTGAAGCAGAGCAACTTTTTTTATTTGATGTATTTAACCTATAGTTTCTCCTTCATGGTGGCTTCCCATTCAGTGACATTTTCCCTGCCTAGCAAAAACAAGTTCAACTAATTTAATGAGTCAACTACTGAGCTATTGCACTACGGAAGTACTGAATTTGTGACACATTTAACTATTCAAGTAGAAAACTACTGATCTACTAAAGCACTTAAACCTGAACTAGTGATGTCCTGAACTACTGAATGACAACCCCAAATCAGAAGAAGTTTGGACGGTACGTAAAATCAAACTTAAAACAGAAAATAGTGATGTGTAAATCATCTGTGTCCTGTGTTACATGGAAAACAATACAGCAGCACATTATTTGATGTGATACCTCATCAACTTTCTTCAAAATAAACACATTTCAGTTCTGATGCCTGCAACACATTCCAAAAAAAGTTGGAACAGTAAAGCATTTACCGCGGTGTGATGTTGCTGTTCCTTCTCACAACACTTAAAAGACATTTAGGGACTGAGGACACCAAGTGATTAAATGTGTCAGGTGTCATTTTGTGCCGTTCTTCCTGCAAACAAGTCTTAAGGTGCACAACAGTCCTGGGTCTGCATTGACACAATCTGTATTTCAAAATGTGTTACACATTCTCTACTGGGGACAGGTGAGGACTGCAGGCAGGTCGGTCCAGCACTCACACCCTTTTCCTCCACAGCCAGACCTTGGTAATGTGCACTATGAGGCTTTTCATTGTCTTGTTGAAATATGCATGGGCGTCCCTGGAAAACATGTCGTCTTGAAGGCAGCACATGTTGCTCCATCATCTCTCTGTCTGTTTTAGCATTAATGGAGCCATCACAGAAGTGTAAGTGACCTTTGCCAAGGACACTGACACAGCCCCAGACCATGACAGACCCTGGCTTTTGGACTTGTTGCTGGTAACAGTCTGGATGGTCCTTTTCCCCTTTGGTCCGGAGCACACAGATCAATTCCTTCCAATAAAGACCTGAAATACTGATTGGTCTGACCACAGTACACGTTTCCACTGTGTGATGGTCCATCCCAGATGCCTCTGAACCCAGAGCAGTTGACTTCTGGACACTGTTGACATAGGGCTTCTTTTTGGCACAGTACAGTTTTAAGCAGCATCTATGGATGTAACTACGTATTGTAGTGGCATTTCAATAATTTTCTCACACATACGTTGTCAAACCCATTTTTGCTCCTAAAGGGCTCGGCCTTTCCTGGATGCCACCGTTGTACCAAATCATGATGACATCATCTGTTTCAAATGGAACCATCATTTCATTGTTTTACCTCATTACTCGCCCTGAAATACAGCTGATCCAACTTTATTTGGAATGTGTTGCAGCCATCGGAATTGAAATGAGTGTTTATTTTGAACAAAGAATGAAGTTGATGAGGTATCACATCAAATAATGTGCTGCTGTATTGTTTTCAGTGTGATACATGACACAGATGATTTACACATAATTATTTTCAGTATTAATTTTATTTTACATACCGTCCCAACTTCTTCTGATTTGGGGTTGTAATTACTTACTTCCTAAAGTAGAAAACCACTGAGCGGTGAAACTACTAAGGTATGACTGACATGATATGAACAACTCAATATCTGTATTGCAGTTTCAACCTAAGGAAAATTATAGCTTTAAATGCCTTGAATGATGCAGAAGCAGAACCAGTCTGCTCTGTCAGAACCCCTGTCAGTGTGTGTGTGTGTGTGTGTGTGTGTGCGGGTGTGTGGCGAGACTTGTTGTGAATGCTGATGGGATTCTCTGATTGAAACTCAGCCATGCAGCAGACTAACAGAACGTGTGTCTCTGTGTATGTGTGTTTGTGATGGATGGGCTGTGGGCTTGTTGTGTGTGTTAATGGTTAATGTGATACATCTGTGTGTGTGTGTGTGTGTGTGTGTGTGTGTGTAGCATTACACTTTGTTGGTGACTGGTTATATTTCACTCTGCAGAGCCTGTAAACAAAACCAGATAAAAAAAAAACCACTTACTTTCTGAAGTTCACACATCCATCCATCATCCTTCTGTTTCGAGCTGCTTATCCAGGTCAGGGCCACTGCAGCAACAGGTTAGATCGGAGAATGTTTTTTCTTTAGAACGGCAGCTCTGAGAAGGGAAAGACTCTTGTATGATGATTTCAATCTAAATCAGTTTAAGTTAAATCTGATTCCAATTCACATTAAATCCATCTTTTGCTTTAATATGATTTAACAACCAAGTGCAGTTTTTCCTGAGGGACCATTATATAAAACAGGGAGCAGGGATGTGATCAGGAAATTAAAAGCCTTCAAATGTGGGCACTAATCCTGGCTTATGTGATATTATCAAATTGAAATTAACCTGGTATTTCTCATTCTGTTACCTTCAAACACAGTTGGAGGGTTCATTTGTTCATGGGAGCTGAAGTTATCTTGAATAAGCTAACTGGTCAATTAAGGCCATGCAAGGGTGTAGTAGCAAATCCTGTCAGTGCGTTGAATTAAGCAGTGGTGTGTTTTACTGCTTACTGTTTACTCAGTTATTTCTTCTTTCAAATATTACATACTCTTGCTTTAAAGACTTGCTATGAAAACACCTACAGTACAGATACATGTTAAGCCAAGATTTAAAGAACTGAAAAATCCAGGACTGTGCTGAAGCAAAAACAGTCAAATCATGCTAACTCTGTCATCCATATACAAAAACAGTTGGGATGTCTTGATCAGGTGTTAGATAACTAACATCACCATCTTTAGGCTCCGCCTCCCAACAGGTAAAAAGCCCTACCTAGTGTACCCAGTGTACAATGTTGCTCCATGTCTTGTAATGCTCTACGAACAGTAATATCCTCACCATTGCTGTTTGTTCTATCCAACACTCACATTATATTTGCTTTGTAAGTGCTGCTGTAGCGATGTGTCCGTCATGATTTATCTGTTGTTAATAGAAGCTGCAATTGTGTCTATGTGTGTGCATGTGTGGTCAAACGAGCAGTGTGTGTGCTTTTGGAGGTTTCTTCTAAAAGCCGGCAGAGGAGGCGCTTTTTAAGCACATTTGTTTTCTGTGGAGGGAAAATTGTCCATTAATGCAGATTTATGCAGATTGGCTGGATGGAAGTCGTTTGGGCGAAAAGAGCCGCTGAGAGTCGAGGAGTGATTACTAATGGGTTTTTATAGAGCGGGAGAGGAGAAAAAGAGGGCGGCGGCTAGCCTGTGTGTGTGTGTGTGTGTGTGTGTGTGTGTGTGTGTCTCTTGGGCTCCTTTATAGCTGTTGAAACAACTATTTTAAATCTTTGCAGGATTCTCATGCTGTGATTCTTGCTGCTCCCTTTTAATTTATTTATGTTGGTTTTATGACTGAATTTTTTTTTTCCCTGTTCTTTTTTCCTCTGTGACTCTTTGCTTTGGGTGGCACAGTGATACAGTGGTTAGCACTCTCACCTCACAGTAAGATTCTGACTTCAAACCTGTTGGCCAACTGGGACCTTTCTTTGTGGAGTTTGCATGTTCTCCCTGTGTCTGCATGGGTTCTCTTCGTGTACTCCTGCTTCCTCCCGCAGTCCAAAGACACGCAGCTTAGGTTGATTGGTGTCTCTAAATTGCTCATAGGTGTGAATATGAGTGGTTGTTTGTCTTTATGTGTCAGCCCTGTGATAGACTGGCGACCTGTCCAGGATGCACCCCGCATTTCGCCCAATATTAGCTGGGGTTGGCTCCATCCCCCCTGCGACCCTCTATAGGATAAGCGGTGTAGGTAACAGATGGGTGGACTTTTCATGTTTCAGTCTTTTTTTTTGTAAATATGGAACAGTAGGTGTCAACAACACTGTAATGCTGGTTCTGCATTGCAGAAATCAAACAGGAAATGGAAAGGTCCAAAAACCATTATTTTGTTGTTAAAAGCTTTTTTCCAGCAGCTTTCATCAGTAGAGGTGCTAAAGTAGAATGAGCAATATCTTAGTGTTGATATACTCTGATACTTGTCGTGCATTCAAAACTCAATTTTGAAGTTAATTCAGATATCAATGACATTTGTACTGACATTATACACTGATACTAATATATACAGTACTGTGCAGCAATTTTAAGCACAGATGTTTAGATTGTTCTTTACATTTTTGTCCGTCTCACAATACCATCAGGGAAGCATCTGATCAGAGAATAGTACCAAATACAAGGGATGAACTAATCAAGACTATGGCACTAGTCATAAGTTATTGTGTACAGATGGAGGATGAATACAGGTGCAAAAAAGAAAAATAAAGGTTCCAGTCCTCACTCTGACTTCAACTCTTTTAAAAAAAAATAAATGTAGGTCATGCACAGCGATGGAACAGATATCCATCTTCTCATCTGACTCTGGAGGGACAAGAAAGAAGAGGAGTTCACAAAATGTTGGACT